CTTAACTAGGCTGTGGCGTTCAGATACTTAGTAAAAACTCACTCTAGGTGTTCCTGCTTGGTTGGGGTTTGGATGAGGCACATTTAAATTGGTGGACATTTAGTAAAGAATATGTGTGTGGGCATTCCATAATCACCATCAGGAGTGGGGGTGGGGGTGGGGATTCTGGGCAACTGCATTTTCCCAGCCATTTTCTTCGGACTGGAATGCAACTATCAGTCGAGTCTGTAGCCTGCCGGCATCCTTCATCAGAATTTGGATTTGCCAAATCTTGTTCAAAATATTATTGAATGGCAGTTTCGAAACTACGATGAGAAAGAAGGCCATGCACAGGGACCATTGAAAGAGGGTCTTGCTGTGTGGGAGACTGCGCTCAACTCTGCACGCAGCACAGGGCAGGGGAATGTGGTGCGAGCAGTGTGAGGTGAGTCGGGTGGATAGCGTGGGCTTAGTGGACAACACAGTAAAGGTATTTCTCACGAAACTGACCTCACGTGCTTCTTGCTGGTGACAAACCAGGGAGAGCCAACATTCCACAGGGGAGAGAGGAGGATAAGGAACTCTAGTAGATACTGAGGTAAGAGTTTGAGGGCACTGACATTCTCTCTCAATGGACTTACTCTGTAGACATCTTTACTGGAGGTGGATATTTACAAGGAAGTGCACAAAAGGCCTGGGAAATGGTTCAGGAGTTTGATTGCAGCGTGGCCAAAGAATCTTTGCCAATCTCCACAACCATGTGAGCCAATTCCTTAAAACAAATGTCTTTCTGTGTATGTGTACATCTCATTGTTCTGTTCCTCTGGAAAACTCTAACCGAATCACTGTTATTTTAAAGCATTCCACTCCGTAAAAACACAGCACGTAGCCATGTTAGCAGCACGCTGGCTTTCATTTGTGATAACCAGGTTTTTATTCCGTCAACTCTGGAGACAGGCAAGAAGATCATCAGTGGCCACATAACAAGTTCAACGCCAGTCTAGGGCACAGGAGACTTTCAAAACAAACTAAAACCCAAATCAGAACAAAGAAACTAAAAACTCAGAGCAAGTAAAAACTCCCAAGTCCCCAACAGCGAAAACCTCAAACTAACCAACCAAACAAATAAAACCACAAAGTTTACAAGTTTCATCTGGGGAACTGGTGAGTAAATACGGTCGCTCCGGGTCTATAATTAGTTCGACAAGAATACCCTTGTTCGCTGTGAATAAGGCAACAATTGCAATTTTTATATTTACACAAGTTTGGAAAATGAGTACCAGCTGACAATAAAGTCGCAGAACCTATCTGAAAAGTGCCGGTCGACGCATCACCAAAGTCACCGTGGATCTGAGGCAAGTCTCGGAGTTGTGCCCTTTCCCAAGCTCGTCCTACAGAAGGCAGACAATGGCAAAACAGACGCCTTTGTCGGTGGTGACCTGTTCCCTGAGTTGTTGACTCTCTTGCTTTGTTACAGACTCTTGCTTTGTTTGGGTAAAGAGTGGCGGGTGCCACCGGGCGTTTTCATGCGGTACTGCAGCTAGAGACTGATTTCCGCCAGTTGAGTGGCAGGTCCCGAGGACAGTGGCGGAGGTGCAGCGCCCCGAGACGGGCTGGGAAGCGCGCGACCCCCAGGCCCCGAGGCGCCAAACTCTCAGAGGTTTTTCAGGTCAGAATTCTCAGTTTGAGAGATATTCTGTTCTTCTTGGAGAAGCAGAGTTGTGTCTGTGCAGGCACCAACGGCGGCTGCTTGTTGTCTCCACTTGTCTTTTATTTTAAGTAACAACAATACAAAACTCCCATACTTAAAAAAAAAAAATTTTGAACAAAAATAAAAATTGCGTATCTTAAGTATATCTAAGAAAGCCCTTTGCACAGGCGCCGGCCGGTTAGCTCAGTTGGTTAGAGCGTGGTGCTAATAACGCCAAGGTCGCGGGTTCGATCCCCGTACGGGCCAGCAGACTGTTTTCTTAAATTAGCCGCCAATTCAACCAAATCCAGTGTCTCACCAACTAAATCCTGATACATTAGAATAACTGAAAATGAATGTAGTTTCTCCTCACTCAGAATATTTCACGTTTTTTCTTTTAGTGAGGTACTGAGATAGTTACTGCCTTAAGTTCCTAATCAAGGCTAGCATCAAAAACAAAACGGTGTATATGAAAAACAATATGACTGATTGTATCTATATTTCAAACAAGAAAGGCCTCATGTTATTTCCTAAGAATGAAGACGATAAGCTTGGTGTGGATGTTGGCAGGATGTTAGCTTAGCTTTGGGGAAGTTAAGTCAGGAGGACCAGGAACTGAAAAGAATTATGACACTAAGAAAGACTGAGGTTTTCTGTGGCATATAAAATGCTAAAGACAACTCCAAATTCTCAAGGTTCTTAAAAAAACAGAATGATCAGGGTATAAATTTCACCATAACTATTTTCCTTGTTCTCAAAAGTAAAAATGAATCCCATTCCAAACCAAATGACATGGCTTATTATTTCTTTGGTATTGGTAATCAGAGTCCGTCATTTGACTGAAAAGGTTGACTGGCACAGGCTAAGAGATTCCACCTGAATTTCTACAGCAGAATTTAGGTGTCACTCACTTTACTGAAAGATAACAACGTAGATAGCAGACCTTTTTCACGCTTTTTGGGTCATGAGGCATTTACCCTTCAGGAACTTGGCTATAGTCAAAAGGGTTCAATTCAGAGATTCGCCAAGATGGAACATTTGAGTAGAGAGTGTGACCATCTATAAATGTCACGAAGCATTTTCAACATATTTAGAGATTTTGACATTAGTATGACAAAAACGTAACAATGGAGGAAGGCCCCGCTGGGATTCGAACCCAGGATCTCCTGTTTACTAGACAGGTGCTTTGACCGGCTAAGCCACAGGGCCCCTTTTAAGCACCTATACAATTATAGTCTATATATACATATATGACTTGTGTGAACTAGAGCTGTTTCCCGTATTTACTTGACCCTGCGCCAAAGAAAACACACGTATGTCTCCATCTTTATACAAAGAAAATTTCCAGCACTTAAGAAATAGTTTCGTAAATGTAAGCTTTAAAATTTATTTCAAATTTAAATGCTTGACAATTTTATTTCGTGGTGACTTGCGCCCCCTAGAGGAAATATTGGACGTTTCCGTATAGTTTAATAGTTTCCTCATTTTTTTTTCCTGTTCCCTAAAGTAAGGCTTCAGTCGTTACTTTTCCAGGCATTGGAGATAAAACAATGAACAAAACAGCAAAAATTTGTTTTACTTTAAAAGCTGCCTTCAAACTCGAAGATCTGTCTGCCCAAGTACTAGGGTTAAAGCGTGGGCCGCTTTGACGGGCTCTCCTACTTTATTTTTATTTATTTATTTTTTGTGTTTTTGATATTTATTGAGCTCTGTATTTATTTTTCTCTGCTCCCCCTGCCTCTCACTTCCCTCCTTCAACTCTCCCCCAAGGTCCCCATGCTCCCAATTTACTCAGGCGATCTTGTCTTTTTCTACTTTCTACTTCCCATGTAGATTAGATCTATGTAAGTTTCTCTTAGTGTCCTCATTGTTGTCTAAGTTCACTGGGATTGCGGTTTGTAGGTTGGCTTTATTTGCTTTATGTTTAAAAACTATCTATGAGTGTGTACATGTGATAATTGTCTTTCTGTGTCTGGGTTTCTCAGTCAAAATGTTTTCTAGTTCCATCTGTTTTCCTGCAAAATTCAAGATATCGTTATTTTTTTCTGCCGTGTAGTACTCCATTATGTAAATGTACCACATTTTCCTTATCCATTCTTCGGTCGAGGGGCATTTAAACTGTTTCCAGGTTCTGGCTATGACAAATAAAGCTGCTATGAACATAGCTGAGCACATGTCCTTGTGCACAATTGAGCATCCTTTGGATATATACCCAAAAGTGGTATTACTGGGTCTTGAGAAAAGTTGTTTCCTAATTTTTTGAGAAATCACCACACTGACATCCAAAGTGGTTGTGCCAGCTTGCATTCCCACCAGCAATGCAGGAGTGTTTCCTTTTCCCCACAACCTCTCCAGCATAAGTTGTCATCGATGTTTTTGATCTTGGCCATTCTTATAGGTGTAAGATGGAATCTCAGAGTTGTTTTGATTTGCATTTCTTTGATGACTAAGGATGTTGAACATTTTCTTAAGTGTCTTTCAGCCATTTTAGATTCCTCTATTGAGAGTTCTATGTTTAGGTCTGTACTCCATTTTTTTTTATTGAATTATGTGTTCTTTTGGTGACCAATTTCTTGAGTTATTTGTATATTTTGGAGATCAGACTTCTGCCTGATGTGGGGTTGGTGAAGATATTTTCACATTCTGTAGGCTGCCATTTTGTCTTGTTGACCGTGTCCTTTGCTTTACAGAAGCTTTTCAGTTTCAGGAGGTCCCATTTATTAATTGTTTCTCTCAGTGTCTATGCTGCTTGGGTTATATTTAGGAAGTGGTCCCCTGTGTCAATGCATTCAAGTGTACTTCCCACTTTGTCTTCTATGAGATTCAGTGTGGCTGACTTTATGTTGAGGTCTTTGATCTATTTGGACTTGAGTTTTGTGCATGGTGATAGATATGGGTCTATTTTCATTCTTCTACATGTTAATTTCCAGTTATGCCAGCAGCATTTGTTGAACATGCTCTCATTTTTCCATTTGATATTTTTTGCTTCTTTGTCAAAGATCAGGTGTTCAAAGATGTGTGGATTGATACCTGGGTCTTCTATTCGGTTCCATTGGTCCTCCTGTCTGTTCTTATGCCAATACCAGGCTGTTTTCAGGACTGTACGCTCTGTAGTTTGAAATCAGGGATTGTGATGCCTCCAGAAGTTCTTTTATTGTACAGGATTGTTTTGGCTATCCTGGGTTTTTTGCTTTTCCATATTGAGTACCATTTTTTTGAGGTCTTTGAAGAATTTTGCTGGGATTTTGATGAGCATTGCATTGAATCTGTGGCTCTTCTACTTTAATCTGGCAGAGAAAGCAGGCCCAGATGAAGATTTTTGTAGTAAGTCCGTGCAGTGTGCTCCCACGTGCCCTCTCCTGAGACAAACCTACTCCACCCCGACCTTTCAAAGATACCCTGGCCTTCTCATGATGCTGATCTCCCGCCTCTTGTTTAGTTCTTTGCCCCATGAGGTTAACACAGACTAATTCCCTGTCTTCCAGGTTATAATAAACTAAATGGAGGACATGGAGAAACGAATAAAGAAGTGGGTAAAATGTGACAACTCCTTCCGATGCTGTCAGCGTCTCTCACTTCGGACATGGTGATGGGCGTCAGAGCACTCAAGAGACCTCCTCACTGCACCTTCCATTTGATGCACGGGGAAAGGCGGTGGCGAACTTAGAGAAAGGCAGTTTAGCATCGTATTAGAATGAGATTGATTTCCTACTTCCCTCCCTCCCTCCCTTCCTCCCTCCCTCCCTCCCTTCCTCCCTCCCTTCTTCTCTATATCAATTTGAGACAGGGTCTCTAGAAAGTCCAGGTTTGTCTGGAACTTTGAGCCCTGACTGACTTCAAACTCGCAGCAGTCATCCTGTCTGTCTCCCAAGGGCTGGCTTTATAAGCATTGGCCACACTTGATGCTCCCTGGAATGTTCTTTTGTGGAGAAGACTGAGAGCGGCTACATTCACAGAGCCCTCACAAATGCAGGACCTGAGGGAGAGACGCTGATGAGGAGTTTACAGTCCTGTGGCTCTGCTTTCCTGCGCTTACCTTCCAACTCGTTCCTCTCAGACCAGCCCCATCAGCGTGTCCCTTCCCACAGTGGGCCAGAGGGCAGCCCCGTTTGTCCACACACCCTGCCACCCTGCCGTTCCTCTCCTCATATAAACACTTTTTAATTTTTTTTTTCCCTTTGAGACAGGGTTTCTCTGCATTAACAGCACTGGCTGTCCAGGAACTTGAGTTGTAGACCCAGCTGACCTCGAACTCACAGAAATCTGCCTGCTTCTGTTTCCCAGAACTGGGATTAAGAACGTACACACTACAGCCCTGAATATAGGTGGTTTTCTCCCCCCCACCCCCCACCCCACCGAAGTTACCCTGTGCACACATAAATCATTTCTAAAGGCCAACAACTTCATAAAATCCTCCTGGGGACACTTGGGGGCACTTGCCATGCCCTGCTTAACATCTGTCTCAGGAGTAAAGCTGAAGATTTTCCCACCATCTCTCAGCTCCCTCTATGCTCCTATGTGGGTATTTTACTTGTGAAAACTAGAGGCAGAATGGCCAGTTTACCCAGTTTGCCCCCCCCCCCGGGGGGGGGGGGGGGGGTGGGGGGTGTTTTTTTGTTGGTTGATAGGGAGAGGAAGAAGCAAATAATGATGAGAACAGGGCAGTGCTGATGGTTCAGGACAGCGGTGGCTTTGAACACCGAGATGATAGCTTACATTCACACCAGGATTTTGCATTGTCCGTTACTGTCGACTCCTAAATCCAGCCATCAGCTTTGGAATCTACAATGTTTAAAGTGATGTATAATGTATATAGTAAAAAACAAACAATGCATGGTGATAAATCTCTACAATTAAAACTTCCCATTTAGATGTATTTAAACGATTTTGGTTGTCTGTGTGCTTGGTCCTCTCTTTAAATGATCCTGAGTTGCATTTCTTTTTTGTAGTGCTGGGGACTGGACTCAGGGTCCCATGCATACAAGGCAAACACTCTACCAACTGAACCCCACTCCCAGCCCTGTGGCTTGCATCTTACACAAGAACTTCCCTTAGGCTGTTTGTCCATGTTCTCTGTGAGGCTGACATACTCTCCATGATGACCCACAGCGGGTGTGTTTCATACTCTAATCTGGCAGATTGCAGATCTCAGATCTGGTCATATTGGCTGCTGTCTGCCAGTCTAATTACTTAACATCAGGTCCTTGATCAAATTTACTTTTTCTTTCTCACAACTGAACTATTGAGGTTATTATAACAGAATAAAGGTCTCTCCATCTTATCTGAGCCGATGACATCTTTGGTTGCTATCCCCAGCCCTGAGAAGTCCCATGGGAAAGCACTGTTCTAGAAACTCAGGGTCTTGCCTGGTGGTGGTGGTGCATGCCTTTAATCCCAGCACTCTGGAGGCAGAGGCAGGTGGTGTGAGTTCGAGGTCAGTGTGTCTGGTCTATAAGTTCCAGGACAGGCTCCAAAGCTACAGAGAAACCCTGTCTCAAAAATTCCAAAAAAAAAAAAAAAAAAAAAAAGAAAAAAAGGAAAAAAGAAAAGAAAGGGTCTTAATGCCCTAGCTAATTGCATTTTCTTGGCTCTTGTTAAACTGTTTGCTTGTTTCTCTCTGCAACTGCCAACCAGGATGTAGTTTTTCTCTGTTCTTCATCTTTAAAAAACTCCCTATAATATACCCTGAAGGTTGCTCTGTGAGAAATGTTTCTCTCCAGGCAGTTGCTGGCTGGCTTAATACAGACTCTCGATTCGAACTTTGGTCGTGCTGAGTGGTTTCTGAGGGTTTTTTTTTTTTTATCTCATAACATTATGTAAAAGACCTTTTCCTGTTGTGAGGTTAAAAAATGTTTCCTTAAAAAAAAAAAAAGTCTAAGCCGGGTGGTGGTGGTGCACACCTTTAATCCCAGCACTCGGGAAGCAGAGGCGGGTGGATCTCTGTGAGTTTGAGGCCAGCCTGGTTTACAGGAGCTAGTCCCAGGACAGCTAGGGCTGATCCACAGAGAAACCCTGTCTTGAAAAAAAGAATGTCTAGATTTTAATTTTTAGGATGAGTCATCTAGAAAAGTACCTTAGGTTCATCTTTATATCAAAGAGAAGGAAAAGAACACCAGTTGGTTTCCTGTTGTCTTCAATACTAGGGGATGCACCAGTACTGATTCCAGCTAGGGAAATCTTTAGGAGAACAGAAAATGGGAACATACCAGCAGGACCCGCACAGGGGCAAGTGACACACGTAGTCACATTCTCAGCCTCTGAAGCCGTAAGATAACAGCTCCCCTCTTCCCCAGCTGAGAATGTATTTCCATACTTGTCCCATTTAATCTAAACACGTGCTTTTACCCTACCTTATGGTACACACTGAGTTGTCAGATCCCTTGCGGAGGGTCCGCCATATCTTCTGTCCAATCCAGCACCTTTCCAAAGCCAAGAAGCTACCATGTTACAGCCCCACAGAAGGGTGGCGCATAGATTACTGCCTATGTCCTGATAAACTCAAAGATCTTTCTCTAAGGCGGAGTCCTCTTTCCTCAAGCCCATACAGGTGAAGAATTTCCTTCCTTTGTTTCGTGGGTTGCTGTGGGACCTCCTTTTCCAGCTTCTCTTGCTGCAAGGGGCTGTGGTTATTGAACACCCTGATGTCCTGAACTCTTTCTCAGCAGAGACTCCCAGGTCACACTAACTACTTGAGCTTTGTGGGCTCCAAGGTCAAGTGTACTGATCCGGGAATCTGCATTATTTAAACACACTAATAATTAAGCTCTACTTTTTGAGCAAACTGCAGAGCACATGTAATTTTATGCTGATCGCTCATCTGGCTTTTCAGGCTGTTAATTGTGTCAAAATGAGGACTGTAGCCTTCTCACTACTAGACAGGCTCTGAGCGAGAATCCCCCAGTTTCTACTACTCTGAGCAGTAGGATTTGCACTACTGTGGGGATTAAAAAAAAAAACAACAAAAAACCTGAACTAATCTACATTTCATCATTCACATACACACCATGAACTGTTTTTTTTTTTTTGGTCCATATCCATATAAAACCAGGTAGTTGGTGAGAAGAGCACACAGAAAGAAAGTAGGTGAGGGATTGAACATGAATACTTTGTTCTTTGTTGTGTAGAACTTTAAGGTGAGCCCTCTCAGCCTCAGTACCTTAGTGCTTCCCTTCGCGGGGGGGGGGTCCCCGGGGGGGAATCTAACAACTATACATACACGTACTGAAATGTTGGGAACTCTCCATCATCTCCCTGAGTCCTTGTAAATGTTCTCCAAATAGAACTCAGTTATTGAATAGGGGCAAAAAACCCCCTAGGTGTTGAAGTTCCTGGTGTTTGGACTCAGTCCCTGGGAAAGGGGCAAAGTGACCCTCAGATGTTCCCTCTTACCTCGTCTGATCTGGCAACCACTCTCCAGCCAATTATTGGTAACAGCCCTTTTAAATAAGCCATCAAAATAGTTAAAGAACAACTCCCCGCCCTCCCATCCTCCCCCCCACCCCGCCCCTTGTTTCTGTGGCTTTTTGTTTAAAAGTAGCCTGTACCACCTATTTGGGGGCTTTTTGACTTCTGGAATGCTGAAAGACCCTGTCATGACAGAATTAATAAAATCCTCATGCTTTTACATCAACTGTGATATGAGAGATGGTCTCTTGGGGTGACTCCTCCTGGTAGTTGGACTTCAGGGTCCAACAGTTGGAAATTAGATAATAAATTCAAGAGACTACTGAAAATGAAGCAGTTTTTAATATACAATTCTACATAGAGAAAAGGCAAAGTTGGCTCTCTGTGTAGCCTTTATCTAACCTGGAATTTATTCTGTAGTTCAGACTGGCCTTGGACTCACAGAGATTCATTCACCTGCTTTTGCCTCCCTAGTGCTAGGATTAAAGGCAGGGCTGCTGTCACCATCATCTGGCTAAGAGTTTTTTTTTTTTTTTTTTAAATAATTTCAGTTTTTTCTTTTTAAAAAATTTTCTTATTTTTTGTGTTATGAGTGCTCTCTCTGAATGTACACCTGCATGCCAGAAGAGGACATCAAACTCCACTATAGGTCGTTGTGAGCCACCTTATAATTGCTGGGTGTTGAATTTAGGTTCTCTGGAAGAGCAGCCAATGTTCTTAACTGCTGAGTCACCTAACCAGCTGAAGGTTGGTTTTTAAAGTGCCTCGATCAGGAGAATCTCTGGTTCACGACTTTACCTCTTCCCAAACTCCCCACCCTATTTAGGACACAGAGCTTTACCTAATGTATAATTTGTGACTTAGGCTGCCTGCTTGTCTGTGCTCAGTAATGCAATAGTTCACCTGTAGCTTTCCATTTCTCAGAATTCTGAAATAAAGTTTGTGCCAGTTAGCTCCAGCGAATTAAGTGCATCTCACACTGAAAATGGACCATAATTTCTTACACTTGTGAATATCGCTACTGGAAAGCAGCTTTGATGTTTCAGAGCTAACCTTTATGATTTTTCAGAAGTAGTCTATCTGGTACACGTTATGCGCGATAACTATCCAGTTGTTTCTTCTTGACTTGTTTTTGCTAAAATATTAAGTCTTTGTATACCACTATGATTCTAGTTGCTATACAATGTTCTGCATTTTCTTCTGGGAGTATCTACCACCTGATATCCCATACCTTCGTTTCCCCAGCTGGAAGCAATTTCCATGGGGATAAGATTTTCTAGGCTGTATTATCCAGAGCTATTCTCAAAAACGTACCAAAATGACATTTAGCAGACCATAATTATGTTTTGTAGTACAGGATGAGTTAAGGATGCTTTCTTTTATTGAAGGTTTAGGCAAGTTTCTCAAAATCCAAACGGACTCAGAATATAGAAACCGTTAAACGTATTTAAATGTGACATTTAACTGTAATGGTAATTGGCCCTTAAACGACCTTAACTGTACCTTTGCTGGGCAGACAAAAAACACCTCGTGTATTTTGAAAATGAAATTTTAGATTTCCATGCAGCAGCTGCTTTCTGGACTACATGAGTGGCTCTGAAAAGAGCCTTTGGGGGGATTATCAAAATCTGCTCACTTGGCCTTGTGGCTGCTCTCGGTCTTCTTGGGCAGCAGCACCGCCTGGATGTTGGGCAGGACGCCGCCCTGCGCGATGGTCACGCGGCCCAGCAACTTGTTGAGCTCCTCGTCGTTGCGGATGGCCAGCTGCAGGTGACGCGGGATGATGCGCGTCTTCTTGTTGTCGCGGGCCGCGTTGCCAGCCAGCTCCAGGATCTCGGCCGTCAGGTACTCCAGCACGGCCGCCAGGTACACCGGGGCGCCGGCGCCCACCCGTTCTGAGTAGTTGCCCTTGCGGAGGAGGCGGTGCACGCGGCCCACGGGGAACTGCAGGCCGGCCCGGGAGGAGCGGGTCTTGGCCTTGGCGCGAGCCTTGCCGCCCTGCTTGCCGCGTCCAGACATACTGGAAACCTTAAGAAGTTGGAGATTATGAAACAAAACGAAGCCAACTTCCTTGGTTTTTATAGTCAAGCCACGGCGCGAAAAAGGAGACACATCATTGGTTAATAGTCTGAGTTCATTTTAACCAATGGAAACGAGGTTTGGAGACTTTTGTATTCTGATTGGATAAAAGTAGTCCCAACCTTTTTCTCTGAGTGACCACTAACAAGACACAGAGCACTTCACTCTATTTGCATACGAAGCTCTAGATAAGGCGTACACAAGGCATAGTTTGCCTTGGCTTCCCGTTGGTGTTTTTTTCCCTCCGGTAATCCATTATGCCTGAACCTGCGAAGTCCGCGCCCGCCCCGAAGAAGGGCTCCAAGAAGGCCGTGACCAAGGCGCAGAAGAAGGACGGCAAGAAGCGCAAGCGCAGCCGCAAGGAGAGCTACTCGGTGTACGTGTACAAGGTGCTGAAGCAGGTCCACCCCGACACCGGCATCTCTTCCAAGGCCATGGGCATCATGAACTCGTTCGTCAACGACATCTTCGAGCGCATCGCGGGCGAGGCGTCGCGCCTGGCGCATTACAACAAGCGCTCGACCATCACGTCCCGGGAGATCCAGACGGCCGTGCGCCTGCTGCTGCCCGGGGAGCTGGCCAAGCACGCCGTGTCCGAGGGCACCAAGGCCGTCACCAAGTACACCAGCGCCAAGTAAACTTTCCAAGCGGCTATTAACACCACCAAAGGCTCTTTTCAGAGCCACTAAGTTGTCTGTATTAGAGCTGCCAACATTAATGACCGCGATTTTGGTGCCAGATGTAGTGCATAAATATGCAAGGATAGTGAAAGAAACTGCTCGTGGCTCAACTTTGTGTTCTGAGAAGTCACAGACTGCCGGTTAAAAATGACATGAACTTTGGGCGAAAGTTAGTATTAATCAACTTTAGGCTGTATTGTTTGCTGGCCTACTTTGTTAGAAGTAGAGACCAGGGCTGAAAATTAAAGTTCAGCTGGTGCAGAAAAACCTGGCCTTAATTGCCATCAGTGCATCAACCTGGCCTGGTGTATGGGACACGTCTATGTTAGTGTCTTAAGTGGAAGTGGAAGTAGGATTAGAATTTCAAGGTCATGTGATGTTACAAATTCTGGCCAGGTTGGCCTACATGAGATCTCGAGTAAGGGAGGCTAGTTTCTCTCTGTCCTCTTATTTCTCTCCCGGCTGTTTCTCTAAGTAATGAATATTCAATTCTGGTCCATACGATGTGTCTGCCACGTGTCTTCCACTAGCCCATGCACCAGTTCTCCAGGCATCAGCCACCGCTCCGGGGTCCGGCAGCCATCTCTGCTTGGGACTAGCCGGGCCCGCCGGGGATCTTGCAGCATTTTTAAAACTGGTAGTGGTGGCGCACGCCTTTAATCCCAGCTCTGGGGAGGCAGAGGCAGGCCTCTTGAGTGCAAGGCCAGCCTAGTCTACCGAGTGAATTTCAGGACAGTCAGGGATACACAGCGAAACTCAAACCCTGTCTCCAGAAAACAACCCAAACCGATTTAACTACGGAAACACATACATTTTTGTCTCTCGCTTTTCTAAGCTTTGGGGGCACAGTTACTCAACATACACAATGAATTGCTTTCGGGTGGAATGTACTTAGGAGGTGAGCAGGGTCAGACGGCAATGTTTTCTAGTTCAAGTCTTTACTAGAGATTTGCCTGTTAATACTTTTTAAATTTATCAAATGATTTTTAACATTTATTGAATGCTTATCATGTCAGACACCCATCTATATATACATGCTTGTAGTATATGAATCCATTTAATCTTTAAACAAATATGTGAGGTAGATATTAATAGGCATCTTTTATAAATCAGAAGCAGTCCAGAAGGATAGAAAGGAAATGATTTTCAACTAGAAGAGCATGGGCAGAGGCAACTGGAGAAGGGATCTATCACACAAGTAAAGGGTACTGGTATTGTGTGAGCTTTTTGGTGTCTCCCAACCAGTATAAAGTTCTCTAATCTGCCCCTTTACTTTTAACAATAGCGAAGTCTTTCTGACCCCTTAGGCAGATCTCAAGTAGCTAATGGGACAAAACACCAGCACAGTACAGCTGCCTATTTCAGTTTCATGGAAAAGAATGAGAAAAACTTTTAGGTTTCTCCAATAAATATTCTAGCTTTCCACTATACACTATACAGGGTTTTGTTTTGTTAAAAAAAAAAAAAGGTTCTTGCTATGTAGTGCTGGTTGATCTGGAATTCGTTGTAGTTTCCTGCCTCAGTCATTTGAGGTTTTGCGTTATAAACATTTGCCATCTCATCCAGCATCTGATATTAAAGTTTTAAGAATGATGTTGAGCCAGGTGGTGGTGGTGCATGCCTTTAATCCCAGCATTTGGGAGGCAGAGACAGGAGGATCTCTGTGAGTTCGAGGCCAGCCTGGTCTACAATAGCCAGGACAGGCTCCAAAAGCTACAAAGAAACCCTGTCTCAAATAAACAAACAAGAAAGAAAGAAAGATAGAATGATGTTACGATGTTGAGTTCCATCTTCAGGTTTCTTTGATTAGTCTTGGATCACGCTTTTAGCTTCTGAGTTCTAATGGGATGTCGCTGTTATTCGCTCTAAGTTGGTAAGCTACTTTTCCCAAATATACCTAATCATGATTCTACAAAATGTATTTTCTGAGAATACACAATGTCTTAATTTTAAAAAACTTGGTGGAAATAAGCCCTTAACGGCCATCGTCACTGCTTTTCTCTCTTTTCACTTAGAGCTCACTCTTTCTCTGGAGAATACAGAGTTAACACTGGAAGGAATCAGTCTGGATCAATGTTCTTTCATAAATAGCAAAACTGATGCACAGACCTTAAATAATTTTGCACAAAACTCTGAAAAGCTGGAGAAAAGTCCAGGACACCCTTCTATCGCTGTCTGTCTGGCCAGCCTTCAACAGCACAGGGCTTTGAGAGGAATCCGTGAGTTGGCAAAGCTAATCTTTTCTCTGGGGTGGGGGGGGAGGGGCTTAGGAAAAAGGCACTCACAAATTCTCTTGATGGTTTCTGTCCTCCTCCTCCTCCTCCTCATCCTCTCTTCTTCTTCTTTCTCTCTTTATTCTCCGTCCTCTATCTCATGCTGTTTCACAGCTTTTATCCCCAACAGAATCTTCCAGGCAGTACAAGAGTCAAGACAGTTGCATTCCATTTCTCAAGTGAATGATTACAGGTAAAAACATGCCTTTTATCTCCCTCACATGGTTAAACATTTTATGTATTACAGGTGAAAAACAAGTTATCCCAAGAACCCACATACATTCATACCCAAGCAACTTGTTACAGATTTACCATGTGGGCGAGCAAGGTGTTCTTGTCAGGTCTTTGACTGGCAGGCTGCATTTTGCAGTTACAGCTACTTTATTACTTATCTTGAAAGGTAATCTTGTAAGGAATTTTAAAGGAATCACAAACCTAAACTTTTATATATGAAAAAGAATCAGTCAGCTCTACTTAAATCTTTATGGTATATATCCATTCATTAGTTGGAAATTGAGGGCAGAAGTTGGTATAAGTAATTTATCATTACCTTTGGTCATCAACCAAAGCTAGCAAGGAGAGTACATCGGCTGCTTTGTTCTTGTTCCCTGACCTTAAGGAGTTCCACATTCATCTATGTCTTGTCCCTTTCTAAAACTTTAGATTGTCTTCTTGGGTTTTTCACCTCAAAGTTATTTAACAAAAACATCTTAGTCTAACTTTATTATTTTCAAAGCTTTGTTTCAGCTGTGATGCACTCTGAGACCTGTGAACACATCTCCCAACATTAAGGTTAAAAGAACTTAAACTAGCTGGGCTATTGGGACACAATTGTTAGTCATTAACTTGAGCTGCCATCCATGCAGCTCCTTAGGTGAGACTCACAGACCCTGGCTGTGAAACATTTACTTGTATTGATTTTTATTCATCAAAACTCTGTATAAGCTATCATTATCAAATTAGACAGTACAGCTTAGGGACAATTCACAGGTAAAAATGCCCAGTAGAATGGGATATTTCCAAGAGATAAACACATTATATAACAGGCAGTGGAACTCTCCCCACATCCACTGACACCATGCTGGATACCAGAGAAAGATCTGCAGCAAACATGTAAAGGCGGAGCAGAAGCAAAAGACATTCCAGGAAACTGTAGTCCCATGGCTTTGCCTAAAGATTGGCCCATCAGAGGATTCCCTTCTGGTGGGCTGAGCTGATAGCTGGAACTCCAATTGCAACTTGCTGCTCCTCTGTCATGGCCAACGGCACCCTTCTCCCTTATGATTACATGGTGTGTGTGTGTATGTATATAACGTATATATAAAACATATATAAAATATATACATCTCATATTTCCTGCCTCTTCAGTCATTATTAGTTCCACTTAACTTTGGACAAAACAAGATTTTAATTGTATTTTTATAATCAAATTATTAAAAAGTTGAATTTGCTACACCAGTGTTCCCTAAAAGGATGATTTTGCTGAGTGGTGGCGGAAAATGCGTTTAATTCTAGCACTAGGGAGACAAAGGCAGGTGGATCTCTGAGTTAAAGGCCAGCCTGGTGTACAGAGTGAGTTCCAGAACAGCTAGGGCTACACAGAAAAACCCTGTTGGGGGTGTGGGGATTCTTTTTATAATGGGCAGTCTATACCTTAGGACAGTTGTGGCTCTGCTCAGACTTCCTCAGGTAACATCTGGACAGTCTAGTCACAGTTCAGCCTCCATTCTGTGGAAAGTTTCATTTCAAGTACTCAACCGTGACTGCCTATAGGATTTTTGAAGCTATTTGGAATTTTATTGCTTCACAAGGGCTCTAGGGGTCCTTTTTCTTCCTGTCCCTTTGTTCCTCTTTTCTTAGATAATGAGATTATAGGATGGTGCTGGAGGTGTCTTGGCTGGAATTACAATCCAATGTAGAAGTACAATCCAAAGTAGAAGACTCCTAACTGGTTAGGACCCCTGTTAAATTTTTGCTGGCCTTTCCTGTCAGCACCATGACCCTT